GCACAAGTGCTCCTAAAAAGAAAAGTAAGCGTAGAGCCCTGTATAGTAACAAACACATCAATTGATTAAGACATCAAGTAGCATAATACATTTTTTTTTTCTTTTTATAATCTGAGCTCAAAAATGTAAGTGTGCTTAGTGGGTACATGAGCTTAATAGGTACGTTTACCCTACTTGCCAGGATGGGTATTTTGACATACTTTTGTATACTTGCTCGTTCAGGTGGCTCGCGGCTGTCTGTGCGCACACTGTTCACACAGAACACAGCACGCGAGTTCTGAAAGGAGTTGTCTTTCGCACACAAATGCTTTTTAATCGCTTGAATTTTTAAATTGTGCACACGCTGTTCACACAGAACACAGCACGCGAGTACTGAAAGGAGTTGTCTTTCGCACACAAATGCTTTTTAATCGCTTGAATTTTAAAATTAACAAGGCTTAAAAACACATGCAAATGATAAAATTTCGTGACGACGCTGCAGTGGCCCGATTGGGCAAGTGACAAATCCGTCTACTGTCCCGAACATCTTTCACGCTGGCCCCGGGCCATCGGGCAGTCCTTATTGTCGAGCCCTGGATTCAAATATGTGACTATTCAAATCGGTTGAGATGCCAAACAACTCGCGATACAATTGAAGTAGGAGTTTATATGAATGCTTCTCTGAGGGGAACTGACTCTCTTTAGAAGAGTTTAGATTATATTTTCTTTTCATCTCGTCTCTGAACAATGCATATTAAAGTAGCATTCATAAGCGCACCTCTGCTGTGTTTACAGCGGTAACCCAGGAAACACTGTATCATTGCTGTTCATAAGCGCCACCTGCTGTCAGAGAGTGAATCTGCGTCTCATTCAGCTTGTCTGCTGTTTCGTTCAGATATGTTTTATGCAGTATAGTTTCACAAAACTGAAGTCAGACCATTCGGTTTTTGCTTCAAATCGAATCGAATCGTGAGTTGAGTGAATCATTATATCCATATATTCGAGTGTAACAGATTATTGAAAACTAAACCAATGAAGGGTGGGTTCTATGCATTGTATTTCGAGATGCTTGCAGGGTCGGGTTTTAAATGGACTAAATGATCTGAGAAGTCCTACATACGCCAACCAGAGATTTCACCAGAAAGTTCAGTTATGACATTTTGATTAAACACTACAAGGTCAAAATTGTTTTAAAAATGAAACATGCACAGTTGTTCACAATAACATCAATTACAGGCATTCAGTAAATAAATAGTTTCATGCCGAGTTAATACATATTTGACATGAAGCACAGAGGACCAATGATAGAGACGGAAGTTTCCGACAAACATGTTTTGGGACAATCAGCTCGGAAAACATCTCTAGAACAGACACTCAGATTGAAATATAATACTTCAGCCAGACACCCCTGCACAATCAGACATACGGTGACTCAATCACACCGCGGGAGACGAAGTAAAAGCCAAACAAGTTCATCCGAGTCTCAAAGCTGTTAGCGGCATAGGAAACTTTTGTAATTTCTGGTTGCTGGAATGAAGACTAGAAAATAAATCAAGGAAAAGCAAATGTCATTTGAGCTCTGTGGATCACCAGTGCTTCCTTTTGCTTCAAACAGCATGATTACAGGGTGGTGGGGGTCTATGGGATGGAGAAGTCTATTTCGCATTTCTTGTTTAAAGAAAGGAGGTTCACGCAAGATCTAAGGGAAAACCCACAGCTGCAAACCAACCCATAAAACAAATCTTTACAACAGTAGTTCTCAATCCTGAAATCCTGCACATTCTGAATATCTATATATTTAAAGGGGTCATATGATGCGATTTCAAGTTTTCCTTTCTCTTTGGAGTGTTACAAGCTGATTGTGCATAGATAAGATCCCTGAAGTTGCAAAGACTAAAGTCTCAAAACCAAAGAGATATTCTTTATCAAAGTTAAGACTCTGCCACGCCGCCCTAAAACGGCTCGTTCTAGTTGGTGTAACAGAATATGTTGACATGCTTTAATGTGTTTTTTGAACATTAAAGCATGTCAACATATTCTGTTACACCAAATACACAAAATAATGATCTTTAAAAAAGCATCATATGACCCCTTTAAAGGGATGGTTCATTGAAAAATTCAAATTCGGTCATCACTGACTCACGTCATTCCAATCCCATTCGTTCATCTTCGAAACCCAAATGAAGATATTTAATAAAAACCTGAGAGATTTCTGTCCCCTCAACTTCAAGGCCATGTAACCAAACCTTTGATTCAAAAAACACTGATCAATTGTTTAAATGTGAATAAAATCCTAAATTAAACCTGTTCATCATATAAAGTGATGGTGTCTATTTAGATTATTGACATTTTTTATTCATATGGATTGCATTTACCATGTTTTATATGAATTTTTTGAAGCATCAAAGTTTTGGTTACACAGACTTTCAATGGAAGGAATGTAATCTCTCAGGTTTATTAAAAATATCTTCATTATGTCTTCTTATAGGCTTGAATTAGGGTGAATAATTGATGACAGCATTTTAATTTTTGGGTGAAACAACTGTTAAGGTCACCGCCTGATTTATATCTTCAGTTCACCAACAGAGGCTCCAAGACCTGGGTGTGTCATCCATCCAAAATGTGCAGCAACCAGGACTGAGAAGTATATCTTTACAAAGTATTGATGAGGTCTTTGACAGTCTACTAACATTACACAATAAATATCAAGTATTGATAACACTCCGCCTAATATGCTATTATTGTACTTAAATGGTACCCAGTAATGCTCTTCCTTCTACCCACTGAGTGCACTTAAGTCCGTAATGTGTTTGTGCATTTGAAGCACACCTCTCACACCACTAAAACCTTTCCTGTGGACTTTGTGTGCAGTGTGTTTAAAAGTGTAAAGATTTGCATACTATTGTATAAATGCTAATTAGAAATGGGGGCAGAATCAGTTTCCGGTGTTCTGCTGGAAAAGGGAAACTAGACAATAGAGAAACACACCGGCTGTGTCTCAAAACCTAGCGAAACTGCACGTTTGGGTATTACAGGCAAAATACTGTGTCCGATGCTTTTTAGATAGGCAGCTCACTAGGTTTTGAGACACATCCAACTAGCTTAAAATGGAACCGTTAGTATTTTAGTACAAACCCATGGTTATACTGTAATGATGGAAGAAGCCCGGCTAGTTCATGACAGGCTCAAGATGAGCGTCTGTCAACAACGGAAAGCCTGAACTTTATGCAACTATAAATGCCTCACAATCACCATTAGGTTATAAACTCAAGTGTTCAAAGAAAACACAGTCTTACCGTGGTGTGCTGCGATCCTGCGCTTTATTCCCGGTGAATAAACAGTTATCCGGCTTCCTCCGCAAATAACCGTGGCGTTTGTTGTTGTTTTTTGCCCACAGCGACGTTTCAAATCAACACACGGTCCATATTTCTACCAACGTCCGCCTTCTAGCTTGCTTAGAGTATAATTTGATAAGTATGGATGTCGTACAACACTTTAGTGTCTATGAAGTCTTTATCTCATTCCTTCGCTAACGGTTCTTTAGCCAGCTAGCCAAATGTTTCCTCTTTGAATATGGGCCGCGGCTGGTGAATAGGCCCGCTCCCGCGCCTATCATATTGCACAGTTACATCCGCACTTTTGATTCTCGCTATGATTTGAAGACTAATTTTATTCTGTGTCTGGTTATCTTTCTATCTAACCCTTCTTTTTTTGTCTAGGATACGCAAAATGGCTACGTGGGGCGGGAGCCAACCGGAAGAAAGGTCAAAATTATGTGCCACTTGTTTCCGGTGAAGAGTGGCGTTGGGAATCTGACATCTTGATAAGGGCAAAGTTTTTTTTTTTGAGCTTGAACAATAAACATACAATGACACGTTGTACATAATAACAACTGCTAGATACATTACCCAACTTTAAAGTTTAGATTATAACATTACTATAATAAACAGACTGCTCTTTTAAACAGAAGAGATGTTTCATACACTTCATGTTACATGCCAGCTTGTTCATTGAGCCATACAATTTCTAAAGTCATTTTTTGAATCTGCACAGAAAAGTCTAAAATAAGGTTTTATGGCTGTTACCTTTGCTTTATACAACTTGAAATATCCCAAGCAAAATTAACAATTTTATATTGCAAGAGCAAAATAAATAAGAGGTTCTGGCTCAAACTACAGAAAGAAGTCAAATCAGTTCACATTTATTTATATAGCAATACAGATTGTTTCAAAGCAACTTCACATGAATAAACCGTATAACAACAGTGTTACTGTTGTAAAATTCATCAGTTATAAAATTACATCCATTTCAGCTGTAAAGCAGCACTGCAGAAGACAATATTGTCATCATTCAGCTCATTTAATTCTGTTTCAATTCAGTTCAATAAATGTCATTGTTTCAATTTTCATAAATTATGGAACAAATTCAATTCAGATGCAAAGCAGCTCTACAGAAGGCAATAATGTTATTATTCAGCTCAAGTTAATTCAATGTTGATTAAATTCAGTTCAATAATAGTGTTGAGGCTGCAAAGATCATTATCCAGCTCAATTCAGTTTAAATTTTGTTCTCATCCGAGAGTGTTAAAAGTGCAGATAAATCGATAATATTACTGAATCTGAAAGGACATAAAGGTCAAATATCGCATCGAAACTGATTACGAAAAGGAATGGTTAATGACTATGCATAGATAATATCTATGCACTTCAAGGGCAAACTATGTATGTTATACTTATGTACTTTTGAACTCTTTAATGAGGGTGTCAACATGTCAAGTTCATGAGGGTGTCAAGTTAATTTTTAAACATTTTGCTGCCTTAATTGATTACCAGTTACTAACAACTAATAACTATTACTAATAACTAATATGATTTCTATTTTTTTAGTTTATATATATATATATATATATATATATATATATATATGGGTACATAAACATGTACTATAGTGAGGCCATGGTTAATAATGATGTAATCAATGAACAAACTTTCATTACCATTAAAGGAAGAAAAAAAACATATTGACTCTCTACTGTCACTGACACTGTATTTCCCTGTGTATGAGTGGATGGTAGTTTACTATAAAAGAGAATTGACTTGTCAGAAAAAAGACCTGTTTATATTTTCCTAATTAGTCATTTATTAGATAACAATGCAACTGAATGATGTTTATGCATGTAGTTATGACTTTGTGACAATTAGAATACTTATAATGAAATTAGAATTTTTTACTTTACAATTGGAACCATTAAACATAATGTTAAACTAGAACACTTTCAGCAGTTTCCATAAAGCCACATAAGGGTAGACTATTATTTAAAAGTAAAAACAATTATGTATTGATGTATTTATTGATGTATCTGCAGAATAAACAAATATTAATTTAATTTATACAAACATGGTATCCATGGTTTTCATTTCACAATTTTGTAGTGTTTACTCCAGACACTGCTGCTCATGATACAGAGATGATCAACATACTGTAAGAACTCCTGCTAACCATATCCATTGTTTTTTAATAGTTTATGGCAGTTCTTTACGAAGAGCAGACTTATAATTGGTACATGTGGAATTTATCTTTTCTTAGCAATTATCAAAGATAATAGTGAAAAAATAAAATAGTGACGTACTTTTGAAAAAGCACATGTGAATGGGCAGTTAATTGTGCAGGGCATGAGATCATCACCCAGGCCTTGAGGAAATGTTTTCTTCTGAGAGAAACATTCAGGTTTGTCCACAGTAATAAAACCAGTAAAACTAGATTTTAAAGCAGTCATCATCAAATGACACTTGAGGAAATTCTAAGTAAAAGTACAAATAACTTTACACAACATTGATTAAGGTAAGTCAGCAACATACGTTAAAAAAACAAACAAACAAAAAACACCGGAACATTTTTAGACAGATTTAAATCAGTTCCTATTCATACTTTATTGTAGTCCATACATTCTCTCTCTCTCAATTTTTTTTCAATTTCAATTTAGGAGTGCTTTATTGGCATGACAAAAATTATACATTTGTATTGCCAAAGCCATTGCAGCTGGACTGCTTACAAATAGTGCACATATGCATTAACAGAAAGAAAAAGAATAATAATAATAGTAATAATAATAATAATAATATATAAAAAGTATTAAGCATGTAGTGCAAAATGAATTACTAATGTA